GGCTGTGCCCACTGCCCTGGGGAGCCTGGGCAGTGCCCAACCAGCCTCTGGGGGAAGAACCTTTGCCTGAGATCCAACCTGAGCCTGCCCTGGCACAGCTCCAGCCATTCCCTGGGTGCTGTCCCTGGTCCCCCCAGAGCAGAGCTCAGTCCCTGCCCCTCGTGTCCCTCAGCACTCACATCCAGCTCGAAGGTCTGCAGCACCGTCCGGTACCCGCCGGAGATGGGGGTGAAGAGCCGAAGCACCTCCTTGATGACACAGTCCAGGTAGTGGAGGCTGCTGATGTTGTCGAGCCGCAGGGAGCCCTCGCAGATGCAGCCGTTGTGGAGGATCCCTTTGCTCCTGAGCTCCTCCCGCAGCTTCTCCAGCACTCGGGGGTGTTTGAGGAGCTGCATGATGAGGGAGGTGCTGGCGCTGGCCGTGGTGGCGTAGGCGGCGAAGATCAGCTCCAGGGTGCCATCCTGGGAGACAAGGGAAGAGCCAGGGTGAGAGCCAGGGCGTGGACAGGTAGGGCAGCGTCCACGGAATGTCAAGGGTCAGGCACAGAGGCTGCCATGGGGCACCTTAATACTCAACAGCTCTCCAGCCTGGGCATTGAACCATAGATGGTTTGGGTAGGAAGGACCTTAAAGATCGTCTCATTCCATGCCCCTGCCACGGGCAGGGACACCTTCCACTAGCCCAGGTTGCTCCAAGCCCTGTCCAATCCAGCCTTGGACACTTCCAGCAATGGGGCAGCCACAACATCTCCCAAAAAACAGCCGCTCAACCAAGGATTTAAGGTCCAAAGGGGCCAAGTTACCTCATGAGGGTACAATCAGTCACAGTCAGAATCATGGAATGGTTTGGATCAGAAGGGACCTCAAAGATCATCCAGTCCCACCGCCTGTCGTGGGCAGGGACACCTTCCACTAGCCCAGGTTGCTCCAAGCCCCCTCCAGCCTGGCCTTGGACACTTCCAGGGATCCAGGGGCAGCCACACCTTGCTCATGTCTAACTGCAAGATCACTCTTTGTGTAGGGTCAGGGCTGGGAAAACCACCATGGGAAGCTTCCCACAAAGCCTCAGAGGATGCTGAGGACCAGATAGAATGGAGAAAAAGCCCTAAGGATGGATCTTGACAGTACATCATGGACAATTTATGCCCTGACCCTGCTCCAGGGAACAACCTGCTGAGGGCTCACGTGCCCTGCAAAGGAGGTGCCGTGGAAGGGGATGGGGGCAAGGGGTGAAACTGGTCAGGGCTGAAAGCTTCAGTTGTGCCAGGAGAGGTTCAGGTTGGACATCAGGAAAAATTTCTTCACTGGAAGAGAAGAGTGGTCAAGCACTGGAACAGGCTGCCCGGGGCAGTGGTGGAGTCACCAACCCTGGAAATGTTCAAAACCCAAACCATTTCACGATACTGGTTTGGTAGGGGTGGGGGTGTTGGGTCACAGGTTGGACTTGATGACCTCAGAAGTCTTTTCCAACCTTCATGATCCCACAATTCTACACAATGCTTTCTAGAAAGGGCTGAGCACAACCTGCAAATGGAACAACTGGTTTGTCGGCACCATAATCCACCAGACCAGGATTCACCTGCAGCTCCACCGACACGTCATGATCCCCTGACCATCCCAGGTCTGCCCCAAAAATTCCTCCCCGGAGCAGCTCAGCCTTGCTCTTGGGGGAGCCCCCGAGCACAGCAAGGTGTCCACGGGGAGATCTTTACCTTCAGCTCCTGCATGGTCAGCTCCTTCCCGTGCTCTTTCCCGCTCTCTATCAGGATGTCCAAGGCATCAGCGTAGTCCTTGCCCTGCGTGTTCTGCAGTTTCTCCTGGATGGCTTTTTCCAGCCCCTTCTGCAGCGTCTCCCGTGCCCGGATTCCCTGTGGAGCAGGAAACCATCAGCCCACGCCAGCACCACCGGCACCATCCCCAGGACAACGTGGCTGAGTAATAAAAGTGCGATTGCAGACGCTCAAAGAGGGGCATAAAGACGCTGAGGTGGTTCCCTGGGCAGGAGGAGTAAAGCCCGAGGAGCTGAGATTACAGGCAGGAGTAATCAGCACCTAGGTGTAAATGGCAGGTCTGCTGTGGGAGCCCCAGTGCTGCACCAGTTCACAGGCCCCTGGCTCGCCCTGGGATGCGTGGCAGCCCCTGGGAAAATTGCCTCTCAAAGGAAAGCCAATTCATCCCAAAGGATCCTCTTCCCCAGGAGCATAATGGTCTTCCCAAGCAGTTTTATCACCTGGTCCCAGTAAAGCAATTCCTATGGGAGTGCAGCTGCACTGGGTTAACCTGCTCCTGCAAGCGCTTCAGGGCTTGCAAGTGCTTGGGCTCATCCACGTGGTCAAATATCAGTGAAAAAAAAAAAAAATTGCAGTGATATCACAAAAATAAATTTGAACCTCCCCGGAATTTCTGTTGCTAAAATTCCCCGTGAAAAAAAATTAAAAAGGTTTTGGTTTTTTGGTTGCTTTTTTTTTTTTGGTCTGTGATTTTTGGTGTGTTTTCATTCTGCATCATCCATCAAAAAACTAGAATGGTTCTCAGAATTAGAAGGTCTGCTGAGCTGTTTCGCTGCAGGGACAGGGAGGGAATTAAAAGGAGAAGGGTCCCACAAACTACAAAAATGCAGGAAAACTGCCGAGCGAGATAAAAATACACTTGAATAAAATAAAAATTGAATAAAAATAATTCGATTTGGGCGAGTCCTGATTGTATTCTGCAACAAACCACTCAATGGACGGACCTTTTTCTCGCTTCTCCACCAAACCCAAAACGGACTCATCCCTAGAGGTCGGAGGGCGAGGAGAACCCGGCGAGGGGCGGATCAACCACCACCCCCTTAACCCCAGATTGGTGGGGGACCCATCCCAAGTCTCTCACCCTCCTGTAGCCGCTGAAGGGCAGGTCCACGGGCAGGGAGAAGACGTTCTCCACGAACTGCTGGTAGACCTCGAAGAGGCGGCCGAGCTCCTCGTCGGGGATGCGGAAGCCCAGCAGGACGCGGATGGCCATGCGGAACGTCAGCTTCTGCGCCTCGTGGTACACGTTGATGGGCTCGGGGTTGCTGCTCCAGGCACGGAGGGTGTCCTTGATCACCAGCTGGATCTTGGGGAGGTAACTCTCCAGCGCCTCGTGGCTGAAGATTTTGGAGAAAACCTGCGGAAAAGGGAGCGAGGAGAGGGTTTTATTTTACAGAGACCCGACAGGGAAAAACGGGCACCGCAAAAAACGTCCTGTGCTTGTCATCAGCCAGAACTCATCGCCCAGAATCATCAATTCCCCAAAAAAAAGTCTGCCAAAAAAATAGAGTCGATGGAGAAACATCAGCTGCCAGATCCTCCAGAGATCCTCACCACGACCGCCACAAACGTTGGGCAACAACGGAGCAAACCAGAGATGGCAGGGAAAAGTGGATGGATAGAGCTGGTTCTTCCCACAGCTCCACGTCTCCCAGATCCCAGTGATATCCATCCCATGATTCGGGTGCTACTAAAACATCTCTCCCCTGGGGATTCTCCTGTCTGACGTGGCTGTGCAGCCACACAGACAAACACAGGCTTTCCTCTCCACATTGAAGCCCGTCGACCGCCTTCTTAACGGATGTAAAATTAAGTAAACTAATTATCCCGCAGCTTTTGGGATCCCTGTGGAATCTGGCTGAACTCAGCCCCGGGGGGCTCAGGCGGCGAGGAGGGACACGCACGTACGCAGAGGCTGCGCTCGCACCCGGCCTCGGTTTCCTTGGGAATCCGGGAAAAAAAAAAAAAGAACCCCTGATGTCAGCAGACAGCATTAATTTAAGCTCTGCGAGTAAACACTGAGCAGCAACGGGGCCTCCCCAGGTCCCCGACGCTCACGGCTCCTTCCTCCAATTCCTCCAATTTGGGCCCGGGCCCACGCGTTGCACGAGGAGCTCAGCAATGCCAGGAATGTCCCTTCCCACAGCACGCGCTTTCATCGGCATTCCCGCCGCATCCCTCCCGGAGAGCACCGGAGGGAAAAAAAAACGTGCCGTTTGTTTATTTTTCGTTAACCTACACACTCACACACACACACAGACACACAGACACGGGGCAGGACGCACACGCAGCGCCGCATGCCAGGCCTCCGGGAAAATCAAATTAAAGCAGGATTCCAGGAGGGAGCCTCCAGCGGGGTGGCCGGGTCCCCCCGGAGAGCAGGGAAGGGGGGGGGGGAGCTCAAGGCGAGGTGGGGGGGCTGCAAAGTTATCAACCCGACGAGGGGAGCGAAATCAAAGCCGCCCCCTCTTTTCCATGAGCGTCGGACTCGCCGGAGCTGTAAATGTGAGAATTTCCTCCACAGTCAGCACTCAAAGGGAAAGGTAATATTTTCCTGGCTGCGACCCCTCATTGCTAATGCACGGGCGGTTCGCCGGGAGTTTGTTTGGTGAAATAACAGCCCCGTCCCCCCTCGCAGCCCCGCGCCGGAGGCTCCACAAGAGCCGCTTCACGGCGCTCCGGGGCTCGGGCTGAGCCCCGAGGAAAAGCTCCCCGCGGAAAAATCCCGGCCAACAACGGGGGCGGTGGGGGAGGGAAAAAAAACCCTCCCGGAGCCCGAGCGGCCGCAGACAGATGCCGTGCCCGGATGGCCACGGCGAGCCAAGGCATGAATGAACGGAGCGGGGATGAATGAACCGAGTGAATGAACAGCGGGGCGGCGAGAGCACGGCGGGGCCGCGAGACGGGGCGGCCGCCGCCGCCTCCCCGCGCTCCTCCAGCTATTTTTAAAGCCTGGAAAGGGCAAGCGCTGCTCGGGCTGAGGCGCTGGAAAAGCAGCCGCTCGGCAAAGGAAAGCCGGAGGTGCTAAAGCTGAGCCCGCTCCGTTGTTGGGGGGCGGGGGAAGGTGTGGAGGGAGCCGGGAAAGGGATGGATCCTGGAGGATCCGAGCGGGACGCCGGGCTTTGGTGCAGCAGGACAGCTGGGACAGAGCTGCTCAGAGGGGCTGCTGAAAGGACGTGGGTATCTCCCCATCCGGCTGGCATTGCCCTGCATCCCTGCTGAGGAGTTGGGACAAGGACAGAGGCTCCCAGTGAATCGCCCCACGCTCCCCAAATGCTTCCCAGGACTCCGTTTCCCCACAGCTCCCACTCTACTCTGGGAGTGCCAAGGCTGCAGTGGAGCCACCATCCTGCTGGAGGTGGCCCTTGGGGTTCCTGACCTCGTCCTTCCTGGCACTGCCACAGTGTTTGGGGAACCCCTGCACCCTGAAAAAAAGGACAAGTCTCTGGTCCCAGGCTGCAAAACTGCTGCTGCGGCATAGAGAACAATCCCAGGGATGGATTCACACCCTCCAGACCCTCAGAAGAGGGAAGAGTCTGCCCCAGGGATGGATGTGCAGCGAGGACACAGCCTGGAGGACCCTCAGGAAGAGAAGACCGGGCCCCGACCGAGGCCAACACAACACCTGCCCAGCCCGAAAAAGGGGGAGCGTTCAACGCTGGGAGGCTGAGGCGGATTTTTTTCCCCCCTTTTCTCGCTCTTTTCCCAGCTCTCCTTCTGCCACGAGGCCCCTCCAGCTGGCTGCACCCCACGCCTGCCCGAGCCCGAAGCTCCCGGCCACGCTCGACGTCCCGTCCGCTCGCCGCCGCCGCGCTCCACGCCGCCTAATCCCACATGTCAGCAGATCCTTCCCCGGCCAGACACAAGTCTGGATCCCCTTCCAGTCACCTCCAGTTCAACCCTGCATCTTTCCAGTTGATTAAAAAGGAGGAAGAGGCGGCCAACTTTTTCTTTCCCCCGACGAACCTCCTTCCCCGCCGCGCGCGCGTTTTTCCCAAGCCTACAATTCCTGCGCCCTCTAGTGAGGCCGAGCCGAGCTCCTGCTCGGCTGCTCGCGGGAGAGAAACCGGGCAGAGCCAAGGAGAACCGGGGCAAAAAAATTTAAAGAGTCGTTCCAGCGCTGCCAAGAGGCAAAATCATCTCTGAGGGGATGCTCAGCTTTGTTAACAGCGAGACGCGGCCGCGGCGGGCGCTCGGCCACGGGGACTCGCAGCAGTGCCAGGGCGGTAGCCAGGACTTTTTGGGGACGTTGGAAGGAGCCCCCGGTTTTTTTTCACGCTGTGATACCTCCCAAAAGAGCCAAATCTGGGGATTTGGTCTGTCCAAGGGTATTTATTCGCGCTGCACACCCTGCTCTGAGGGAGACACCACCACCCAGCGAGCCTGGCTGGAACCTTCCGAGTCTGCCTCGCAGTGGAAAAAGGATATTTCGAGATTTATGGTTTTCCTAAGGCAGAAAAATTCCTTCTCAGTGTCTCAGCTCCAGCTCTAAGTGACAGCAAACTGCCCCCCCCCGGTCCCAGCTGGAGAATCCCCCAGCCCCATCCTCAAACCACAGCAAGGAGGAGAGGGAATTCAAGGGAATTCACTGGGCTTCCACACCGGTTTTCCACGCGTGGAAAAGGCTTTGTTGCATGGTTGGGATGGAGAGGGATGATGTTTTCCATGGCGTTACCCTCCCTGGTGCCAGCCCAGCCTTCCCACCCCGAGCACCGGAATCGCTCCCTGCCTTTTGCCATCCACGATTTTCGGGCCCCTCGCTTCCCCCCGGCACACCAGCACAGCAAAGAGGGAAGGGAGCATCACATTCCTCCTTTCCAGGAGGAAAACTTTGGGATCAGCCACCTGCATCCCATCCAGCCCGCGCCGGCCCGGCCCGACGAAGGCGCAACGAGCGAGGAAATGCTTTCAGGAAGGAATTTGGCCCCTGCTGGAGGTTTGGATGTGCCAGGAAGCATCCAAAGCAACACCTCAACCTGGACACACACTAATCCTTCCAACATTTCCAGGGGGTTCGTCCCAGCCTTGTCCTGTTGCCACGTTAGCCTGGATGTCTGCCTCTCCCCGGCCCGTGCTCCAGAGGGCTTGGAAACCCTGGGAGCTTTGGAGAGGGATGAGAGGGTTTGTGGGCAAGAGGCTGTGCAGGTACTGGGAGCAGGAACAAAGGGAAAACGCAGCAAAAAAATTGGGAAGGCACCGCAAGGAGGGAGGACTTCCATAAAATCCCGCTGCTGCCCCGACGCTCCGACCTTGTAACGCACAGCAAAGAATTGGTTCCTTTTCTCCCCATCCTAAAAACAGAGCACAGGGACCGCTCCATGGTCTCCTGCCACGCTCCCTCATGGAGGAATCCAGGCCCAGGGAGAGGGAAAAGCCAAGTTTCGGGTGCCAAGCACCCAAAACAAGGAATTTTGGGGTTGCCCGGCAAAGCACAGCACAGCCCACGGGGCACAGAGGGGTGCCCTGGGGGAGCTGAAGGCAGCAAATCCTCCCAGCAATCCCTCAGGAATGCTCCAACCTGTCTCCAAAGGGAGTCTGGTAACTCTGGAACGTCCAGGCTGAAGGAAAGGAACAAAAGGCAAAAGGCACAAACATTTGAACGGTTCTCAGGAAGAAAAAAAAGTGCTGGAAAAAAAGCAAAGATCATTCCAACATCCCTGGGCCACGTTAGGATGAACGTGCCCCTCTCAGGGTCGCCCAGATCCCTGATTTTTTAACGTTTAAAAAGAAACAAAAGGTCAGGGAAACTCCAGGATTTCTTATTTCCAGTCGAATTCCGAATAAAAACGAGCCCAAGCGCCGCATTTCCCCACGATTAAAAATCTCCACCTCCGAGCATCTCCCCTACAAACCCTCCCCCTGGCATGGGAGGCTTCTGATCCCAAACCCTTAAAGGATATTGGGATAAAGGGGCTTTGTTGGCCCAGGGAGAGCAAGGGCAAGCAGGACACCCCAGGTGTGTCTCAGCATTCCCTCTGCAAAACTTCCTGGTGTCCCCAAACGGCTCCAGCAGCAGGAAAACACAACCACTGAGGCCTCTTAGCCCAGTTTATGGGAATACCAAAAGACACTGGGATTTGTCAGTTTGGAAGTGCTGCTCCAAGTGTCCTCTTCCCATTTATTCCTGGGTTTGAGGAGGGTAAAAATCAACCTGTGTTGGCACCGCCCTTCGAGGAGGGAATGGAACACAGGAGGGAAAAGGAAGGTATCCCATCGATGGAATGGGAGCTGTGGCCAGGGAGAAGGGATTGGAAAGGTGGGATCAGCTGGCCAAGAGGAGGGATAACAGGACACGCACCCACTCCTGTGACTGGTGCCTTTGGAGCCGTGGAGAAGGAAAATCCTGCAATCCCAGCA